GGAGGTTCCCGTAATAAGGAACATAGTATGTGCGGGGTACAGTAGCGGGACCCCTATTTTGGGAATGCCCAGATCAGAAAACTTCAAGACCCAAACCCAGCTAGTAGTACCAACATTAACTTCAGCACCCGACCAAAAAACATGGTGTAGTGCGTTCATTGGACTTATACGGCATTTTCGCGTACCTGTACCTGTTCTGTGCCTTTACCCAAAGGCTCCTATGTAGTACCTTTAGGAACTACATTGCAGCCTTTGGGCAAAGCCTGAAGCTTTTCCCAGACCAGCGGCCACAAGTCCGCCAGAGACGAGCGCCGGGCAATCTTGGCATGAGTTCCTGGATGCGGGTCAGGGTTTAGGGTATTGGGTTGTGGGGTCAGACGCAGAGTTTGCAGTGAGATGGTTTAGGGTTTAGGGTTTTAGGGTTTAGGGTTTTAGGTTTTAGGTTTTAGGGTTTAGGGTTTAGGGTTTAGGGTTTAGGGCCAAACCTGTAAAAGTTAAAATAGAAACCAGCGTCCATCCGCCTTACGATGGCCAAGTGCAGCTACGACCCGGCTTTGTCTCGCCCCACGCCGTCCACAAGGCGGTAAAGCTATCCTAGTCCATTTTCGAGGCACTGAACTAGATCAGTGTTAGGGATCCTTTTTACTTTTTGGCTTATGGGCTTTCTTGTATATGAACAAAAAGGATCCTTTTTTCTTCCTAGGGGAACAGGGATTAAGTGAACTCATGTCAAGTCATGGCTGTTCTTACCTCCTGGCTCTTGAAAACAAGATGAAAAGGGACTGGGAGAAAAGGGAACAGACGCTTGCTTTCTCGGAAGCGTGCAAGGGCTTGGCACTTTAGGTGTCCAGATGTCATGGTATATCAACAGCCGATAATGATAGACACCCCGAAGATTAACCCTAAAGCTGCATGTAAGGGCTTAGAGTTTAGGGTTTAGGGTTTAAGGGTAGTTTCATGGGCCCCGAATACATGGGCCCTTAATTTGTATAGGGTGGTTTTTAGGGGAATAAGAAGGGGTCCCCTTTTGAGGGCCCACACTAAGGGGCCATGGAACTACCCTTAGATATAAAGCATTGCCATGCAAGGTGCCTGAATCCTGGGTCCTGGTTCAGCAAAAAACCCAGCTTAGAAAAATATCGACCGATCTCGATCTCCATGGTCTAACACCGATCTCGTCGCCAGCCATGAGCGATAACTACTGGTGGTGGCGGCAAGTGTACCGCCAAGGCAAGCGGTGGTCGGCCAAAGGCACAGGCAAAAGCTCAGCCTTCAGTTGATTGGCAGATCTGCTTTCAACGCTTCCTTATTTTATAGTGGACCTTGATGTCCGGCAAAAGCCTTAGAAGCTGCACTGGGATCTTCAGGTACCCCAAACCCAAAACCCTAAACCCGAAACCCGAAACCCTAAACCCTAAACCCTAAACCCTAAACCCTAAACCCAAGCCCTAAGCCCTTGACCCTAAACCTTTGGGCTTGCACTTAGCAGGGTAGGCTTTCGGGCTGAGGTTTTGGGAGTCTGGTGTTTGGGATTACAAGGCTTTAGGCCTTAACCCTAAAGGGGCTCAGGTCTACATGCGGCTGTTTAGGGTTGAGGGCTGTTTGGGTTGAGGGTTTAGGGCTAGGGTTTAGGGTTTAGGGTTCAGGGTTTAGGGTTTAGGGCTATCTACCCTGGCAGAGTTGGAGTGGTACATGGGTAATACACGCAAGCTGAGGGTTCATCTGGTCATCAGTATAGTCCTCGAGGCTTACACCCTACCTGTGTTGGTTGGGTACCTAACCTCCGTAGTATCCCTGACCCCAAGGGAAGGCACTCCGAAAGCAGATAGGATGCCCCTATTCCCCTCCATCCACCCTCAGAAACCCTTTGAGAACCCCGAGCCCCTAAGATAGCGACAGTGGCCAGGGCAGCCACGAAGATCGCGAGGAGGGCGTGAAGTCTCAGGGGCTGAAAGCCCACAAGGACTGGGCCTCTGTTTGACTCAAGAATATCGAGGCCACTACGTGCATTTGGAGTTTAAGGTGTATACATTCACACATACATACGTTCATATTTTAATGAGTTGTATATGTATATGCACATATGTGGGTGTCTAGATAGGCAGATATACATACATGCAGACATGCATGTTCGCATACATGCATACGTGCATACGTGCATACGTGCATGTGTGCATGTGTGCATGCATGCCTACAGCATACATGCATGCACACAAGCACAGGCGCAAGCGAAAAAAAAAAAAAAAAAACACACACACACACACACACAACTTTTCGCAACACAAACGCAGAAGCACATGTGTACATATACATACATGTATATAGATATATACCTATTGAAACGGATATGGATACTGAAATATTGAATAGATGTATACCCTAACCGGTCCTGCTACCTCCAAAGCGGGATCAGGTAGCTCCCAGAAAGGTACAGGGGGTTCTCAAATCTTTGTTTTCTGAAGAAAACCTCTGGGATTTCAGGTATTTTCAACACTCGGCTGCATGGAGCTTATATGCAAAGCCTTAGACCCTAAACCCTATACCCTTAACCCTTAACCCTTAACCCTAAACCCTAAACCCTAAACCCTAAACCCTAAACCCTAAACCCTAAACCCGAAGGCGAAAGGGTCAGGGGTGCCTCCAAGCCTTGGGTATTCTGAGGACTCCTACCTGGAGGTTCAAGTACGTAAAACCCAGTAGGGTTTTAGGGTTTAGGTTTTAGGACTTAGGGCTTAGGGGGCTATACTTGTGCATGGTACTTATGACTCAGTAATACCTGTACTTATAACCCGCTTATAAGTCCTTTAAGTGCCCGAACATGGCTATATTTGGGTTATAAGTACAGTTGAAGTTGGGTTATTAAGTACCATGAACCTCCGAGGTGTTCTGACCCGGTCCAGGGCTCCGGGTTTAAGTTTAGAGTTTAGGGGCCTTTAGGGTTTGGGGAGTTTAGGGTCTAGGGCCTGTAGGGTTCAGAGTTTAAGTCCTTCAGAGTTTAGAGCCTTCAGGGTGTTCAGTTTTTGAGTCTCGAGTTTGGAGGGTTTAGAGTTTACAGTTAGGAACTCCTTTCGCGCATCCGTCCGGCCGGCTGATGTGCGCTTGGTTCCACCAAGGCATCAGGGCTCCGGGGGTTGAGAAGGGAAGAGTCGTCCCCAAACCCTAAACCCTATAAACCCTAAACTCCAAACCCTCAACCCTAAACCCCAAACCCTAAACCATGAACCCTAAACCCCAAACCCGAAAACCCTGAGCTGTGAGGGTTGCAATTGAACCCTGAACTCTAAAGCCTAAACACTAAACCCTAAAGCCTAAACCCTAAAGCCTAAACCGTAAACCCAAAACCCTAAACCCTAAACCCTAAACCCTAAACCCTAAACACTCCCAACCAGGGGAGTCCCTGCCCCTCCAGCGAGGACAAGCCGTCCGAGAGCAAGCAGCGCGCGCCTTGCCGAAATCTGCCCTTCCAGGATGGCTTATAGGGTTTGAGTTTAGGGTTTGGGGTTTGTGGTTTAGGGTTTAGGGTTTGGGGTTTGGGGTTTGGGGGTTTGGGGTTTAGGGTGGTTTAGGGTGTTTTGCTTCCATGGGTACTTGCAACCCCAATTATGCCTGTACTTATAACGCCCCAAAGTGGTTGTAAGTAGATTTTTACATGGAGTCAATGGCCAATCCTAGTAAACAAGGTACCGCAGGCGAGCTCCGCGCGTGTTTTTTATTAGTCAGCGCGAGTCTTTTGTGCGCCCGCATTACACACACGCACACACACACAACGCATTGGTTGTAATGTAATCACTGCTTTCGCTGTGATTCGCTTCCAAGATACCCAGTAGATTACAGATGTGAGGCTGGCGAACACGATTTATTTCCCAAACAGGAAGTCCTTTGTGTCCTCTCAACTTCTAATTATCATAGTCCGAAAGCAAAGTGGAGACCATGAGCTCGTGAGCACTAAACCCTAAACCCTAAACCCTAAACCCTAAACCCTAAACCCTAAGCCCTAAGCCCTAAGCCCTAAGCCCTAAGCCCTAAGCCCTAAGCCCTAAACCCTAAACCCTAAACCCTAAACCATAACTTCCTCGTTATACTCAACAATACTATTACATCTGCAGGGTACCTTAAGTGTAAGCTCGACATGTCGAATAGCTGAATGGCAAGAGTGCCGGATGACGGGCTGTGTTCCTAGAGAGCATATTAGGTTTGGGGTTTAGGGTTTAGGGTTTCGGGTTTGGGGTTTAGGGTTTAGTAGGGTTTAGGGTTTAGGGTCATAGCCAGTGCAAGACCCCAACCGAGGTCGACAAAGTGAAAGTCGTCCCAAACCACTGCGGCACCGTTTTGGAGCTCGCCCCGCAATATCCAGGCAGGTGTAAAGTTAGAGGGTTCAGGAGGGTCTAGGGTTCAGGGTTAGGGGTTTTAGGGTTTAGGGCCCTCTGTTTTTTCAGAGTTCAATGCCGGTCTTCTGGGGTACATGGTACCCTTTTCCTTTTTTACTGGTTCAAGGTTCCCCAAACAAGTAACCAACCCCAATAAAAGGGTACCCTTATCATGGTATTGTTACTGGGCCCTCCAAAGATATCAACAGCAAGTGGACCCTCAAGGCTACTGTGTTGGCTGTAGTTGGGTGTAGCCCCTAAACCCAAAACCCAAAACCCTAAACCCTAAACCCTAAACCCTTTTTGCTCTTCGGGCTTTTTCAAGGCAGTTCTTCCCCCCCCCCGGCCTTCATAAGACGGCGCCGGTTTAAGGCCCTGAATCCTAGACCCCGAAACCCTGAAGCCTGGGTAATCCCGCGAACCCTCAGGCCCTATAAACCCCCAAACTCAACTTTGGGTTTAGGGTTTAGGGTTTAGGGTTTAGGGTTTAGGGTTTAGGGTTTAGGGTTTAGGGTTTAGGGTTAGGGTTTAGGGTTTAGGGTTTAGGGTTTAGGGTTTAGGGTTTAGGGTTTAGGGTTTAGGGTTTAGGGTTTAGGGCTGCGGAACTTCAACCCGAACCCGCCTGTGCCAGGCATGTACGAAGTGCAGCTGGACGGCTGCCGGCAGAGTGTCTTCTTCGACCCACAGCCCGACAACTATGAGACCTTCGGATGCAGAGACTGCAAGGGTTTAGGGTTTAGGGTTCAGGGTTTAGGGTTTAGGGTTTAGGGTTTATACACCCCATAATCAATCCTTCTTGGAGGTTCATGGGTACTTATACCCCCAAGTGTAAGTCTACTCATAACCTACTCAGGGGACATAGGGAGCTTTTATGGGCTTCTGAGTACCGTTCTAACTGGGGTTGTATGTACCCATGAACCTCCAAGCAGGACCCAACGTAGGCATTCATTTCCTTTTCTTTTGGAGTGGGGCGGGGGGGGGGGGGGGGGGGGGGATGGCCTTTTAATTCCTTAATTTTGGGTTTAGGATTCAGGGTGCCAAAGTTGAAGCTTCAAATGCAGGAATGGGGTTTATATTCGGGGGTACTACAATCTTTATTCAGGACTGTTAGTATAAGGGGGGACATCCCAAGATATAGCACCCCAACTTACGGATTTCAAGGGTAACTGGCCCCTTAAGCCCCCATTTCCTCTACGCCTCCGTAGCGTTCTATATAGGAGGTCGAGGGTTGAGAGCTGAAAGCTTCAGGGTTTTAGCATTAAGGGTGTAGGGCTTTAGGGTTTAGCGTTCTAGTTGAGGAGGTTGCCGTTTTTGGGCTTTCGGTTTGCAATCCCCACGATGCGATGTGTTTGCAGATGAGGGGTTGTTTTAGTTTTCGGACCTAGTTCTAAGCCGTGCAACGCCTGCCCTGACCCCGAACCCTGAGCTTGGGATGTTCCCCCCCATATACGAACCGTCCCTTGTTTCGGCATTGTAGTACCCCCTACTATGAGGGTTTAGGGTTTAGGGTTTAGGGTTTAGGGTTTAGGGTTTAGGGGGTTTAGTTAGGGTTTAGGGAGTTTGGGTGGCCGAGGCTTGCAGGCGTCTTCCGCTATGCGGAGACTCAGTGCCTTTGCTAGGGCTTCTTCAGGGATTCTTCAGGGTTCTCATTTAGGGTTTGGGGTTTAGGGTTTAGGGGTTAGGGTTTAGGGTTTAGGGTTTAGGGCTTAGGGTTTAGGTTTAGGGCTTAGGGTTTAGGGTCTAGGCTCTAGGCTTGGGCTTCTTCGGGGTTCTTTAGGGTGAATCTGGGAGTTGATTTCGAGTTTATAGGGTTTCTCTTGACAGGCTTGGTAGGTTGTATTTAGGGCTTAGGTTTATGTACTTAGGGTTTCTCTTGATTGGCTTGGTAGCTTGTATATTTCGGGTTTAGGTTTATGTACAGGATGTGGGGTTTGTTTACGGCTTAAGGTGTATGTAGGGATGAGTGCGCATTCAGGGTTTCAGGGTTTATTTTGGGGCTATAGGGTTCCAGATTGAGAAAGGTGGGGCTCACCGAGATCTCTGGTTTAGGGTTTAGGGTTTAGGGTTTCGGGTTTAGGGACCGTTTTCGGTGTCCTGATTTGGCCCTGAAGGCTGCAGGGGCCAGTTGCCCTAAACCCCAAACCCTAAACCCTAAACCCTAAACCCGAAACCCCCCCTCACCCGGCTTGGGGTTTAGGAGCCGGACCTCCAAGATATGCTGCGACCTCAATCCTCCAAACCTAGACCCTAAACCCTAAAAATGTCAAACCGTACTAGAGGGGTTTAGGGGTTAAGGCTTAAGGTTTAGGATCGTCTTCCTCTATGGTCCCTATATACTTACACTATCTACACAAAAGTAAACATAAAGCAAAACAAAAACTATTCCAATCAAGGCCCCTATAGCAAACCCGGAGACTCGACCCTGCGAACCCAAAGTCTTTCTCTAAAAACTAAATTGTAAACCTTCATTCTTCAAGCAAGTTACCGAATGCCCTTCTACCCCTCTCTGTGCTCCTTGCGCCCTTCATCCAGGGTTGATTAAGTAGGGTTTGGGGATTGGGGATTAGGGATTTGGGTTTAGGAATTTGGGAAAACCTTGAGGGGTGAGTATGGGAGGGGGGGATGGGGATTCTACAGTTGGCAAGGCCCCTCATCGTCTTCGTCGGCGGAGGTTGGATTGAAACCACCGTTAAGAGAGCCCCGGCTGCACGAGCCTAAGCTTTAGGGTTTAGGGTTTAGGGTTTAGGGTTTACGGTTTAGGGTTTAGGGTTTAGGGTTTAGGGCTGCGCAAGAGGCTCTTCAGCTTTTTGAGCCTTGCACCGAGCTCTGCAGTGGCTGCTGTAGATCTTATTCCCTCAAACACCTTTGAAGCCCTGAACCCGAAACCCTAAACCCCAAATCCTAAGCCTTGCGAACGGACATATCCAGACGGCGGATCCTGAACCCAGGGTTCTGACATGGCTGTCAAGTTCTGAAGTATGGGAACTTCGATTTATTGGGCAAATAAGGGGTACATAAAGGGGGTCCCGTCTTTAAAGGGCACAGATTAAGGGACCATGTAACTACCCCAAGGCTATCTGGGTCCCTTTCTGCCACCTCTCACGAACCCCTAAACCCTAAACCCTAAACCCTAAACCCTAAACCCTAAACCCTAAACCCTAAACCCTAAACCCTAAACCCTAAACCCTAAACCCTAAACCCTAAACCCCTAAACCCCTAAACCCCTAAACCCTAAACCCACAACGTTTCAAGCTCCGGCTCCCTCAGCCCTAGGCCCGAAACCCGAACTTCTTCCGAAGATGGGGGTCCATACCGCAAACGGGGGAGGGGCCGGGAAAGTTTTCAGGATGGACCCAGAACCCTAAACCCTAAACCCTAAACCCTAAACCCTAAACCCTGAACCCTAAACCCTAAACCCTAAACCCCCTTTGCGGGCTTCAAGGAATCGAAGATCCTAGGGTTTAGGGCTTAGGGTTCTCTGGAAGTGTCGTTCTCCGAAGGCTTCGCTCACCTACCAGGGTTTAGGGTTTAGGGGTTTTGGGTTTAGGGTTTAGGGTTTGAGTTGACATTCAGGGTCCATGAACCTCATTCTTATATACTTGGGCCCCCAAAGTCCATACAGAGCAAGTACTTTGAGGCCCAGGTGCTCCTTATTCCCTACACCCTAAACCCTAAACCCTAAACCCTAAACCCTAAACCCTAAACCCTAAACCCTAAACCCTAAACCCTAAACCCTAAACCCTAAACCCTATAAACCCTAAACCCTAGACCCTAAGAGTGAGGACTTAGGAGTTGAAGGCACACAGTTCCCCCCAACCGAGGCATCAGCTTCGGAAACCTGCATGACCTGCGGAAAGGGGACGCCAAGAAGAGCCTTGGCTTCTAAACACTAGATCTCCCTAAACCCTAGCCCTAAACCCTAGCCCTAAACCCTAAACATAAATACCCAAGCAGCTCCCGATCCGGAGCACTGACGAAGCCCTAAACCCTACCCCCCCCCCCCCCCCCCCCCCCCCCCCCCCCCCTTTCCCCCCCCACCCCCCGCTTCAGGAACCTACAAGCGAGCTTTAAGCCCCTAAACCCAAAACCCAAAACCCCACAACCCCAGGGTTTTGTTGGTCACTTGGTAGGACCTTGCTTATTGGGTTCCGGAGAACCATTTCTTTAGGAATCGGAATACTCTTCGGATGGTAATCTTTTACCTTATATCCCCTACTGTATACTATCTTGTAGTTGAGGGTTGCAGAATTGTAATCAAAGGGTAGCGGATTCCCTTATTCTTTGCTAAGAACTCATAGGCCTGAAGACACACAAGAGAGAATGAATCGCCAAGGAAGACGTTCAAGATGTGACGCAGCTGCGATCAGCATGGGAGTAGTTTCAAGGCTTACCGTGTCGTATTTTCTTACGCGCCCCAAAATTGTAGCAGAACCCCTGAACCCTAAACCCATTTGTAGCAGAACCCCTAAACCCTAAACCCACTTAACACCCTAACCCCCAAACCCTTAACCCTAAACCCGCTCAGCACCCTAAACCCTAAACTCCAAACCCTAAACCCTAAACGTCCTGAACACCCTAAACCCCAAAAGGGACCCCCAGTTTCTTTGGAAACCCCCCCCCGGTACGTCTCATCTGTGTGCCTCTCTCCCCCCCCCCCCCCCCCTGCGTTTTACAGTTGAAACCTAGCGTTGAGGGTTTAGGATTTAGGGTTTAGGGTTTAGGGTTCAGGGTCTAGGGTTTACGGCACTAGATGGCATCTCGCTTTTGGGCGTTTCTCCATCGGCAACAGACCGACGACCCTGATCCTCATCACGCTACCCTCAGGGGCCCACAGACTCATCTTCCTTGTGTTCGGACCTTTGTGGGTTGACCCTTGTTAAACAATGAAGGGTTTAGGGTTTAGGGTTTAGTGTTTAGGGTCTAGGGTTTTGTGTTCGGACCTGTGTGGGTTGACCCTTATTTATAACAATGAAGGAACCAACCCCAAGAAGGGTACCCTCACTGCATCAATATGCTTGCAGTTCTGTTTTTGTGATGGATGGGGCCGTTTCTGTCGGGATTTGGATGCCGGCCTTCATGCATCTTTGCATCACCAGAGCGACCTCCGGGATTTCGTGTGGGCTTAGGGTTGAGGGTCGAGGGTGGGTGTGCCTTGGGATGTTTCCCTTTAGACTAGCAGTCCTTATAGGGATGATACTGGGGGGGGGGAGTTCTAGAACCCTAAACCCTAAACCCTAAACCCTAAACCCTAAACCCCGATTAAGGATTGTTAGTATGGAAGGGAACCTCTTCGTGCAGGGTGCAAGTTGCGGTATCGGTTCGTGCTTGAGCAGAGCTTCGGGGCCTGCGCCGCTACGCCCTAGACCCGAATAGGGTTTGGGGTTAGGGTTGAGGGTTAGGGTTGAGGGTTGAGGGTTTAGGGTTTAGGGTTTAGGGTTTAGGGTTTAGGGTTCAGTAATTCAGCGAGTGCCAATCCGAAGCCCCAACCAGGAGTCTAAACGAGCTCAACCACACGCCCGCGAAGCTGAAGCTTGCGACATACGACCTGCCACTTTGGCTTAATTAGGGTTTAGGGCTTAGGGTTTACGGTTTAGGGTCCAGGGTTTAGGGTTGAGGGTTTAGGGTTTAGGGTT